AAAACATGACAGTCTGTATAAAATGGCTTGGTGATGCTTCAAGCGCTTTGGAATAAGATTACTCCGAAGAAAAGCGTGCACACGCCATTATATATACAGAGACCTTGGATGTCATATGTCATATGTTGTCATATGTCAGAGACCTTTGTTCTTTTCATCACATCTAGAATCGCTCCAGTTCTTTTCCTCTCACAGTCGAGCAGGAGCCCAGAGTGTTCTTGAACTTTCTCAACACCTCTCAGCTTACTTGGCAACTGAAACACTTCCGAAGCACACCATGACCTGTGGGTTTCATTTAACTATATGTAGCTAGTCAGAGGCTGAGGAGCTGGGTACGATTGGCGCTCTATCTGCGCAGAAACGGCACAGGCTGTATTTCTCTTTTTTGAGATGCCCTGGCTAGCCCGTTGCAGTTTGACCTAATATGATACCTGCTGCCAGCTTTTGCCGCAACAAAAAACCTCATCTGGAAAAGACATGCTAGAATTACATGGCCGTGTTCGGGATTGAGATCGCACGCGACTTTCCTCAAGGTCGGCTTCCAAAGAGGCACATTGTCTTTTGCAAATCAAAAGCTGATGTTCCAAATCAGCCACTTGCTCCTGCGCCTTCTGCAATTCAAGCTGTAAGACCATGCAGCTTGTTTCTTGCGTACTTGCCATCGGCATTGGGCTTGGCATGGTTGGTGGCCCCACAATTTTCATATGCGCAGCAGAAGTAATTTTCAACAACTTCTGCAAACCGCTCCACACCACTATAGCTGCCAGTCCGAGTGCTAGTACAAGCAGCACATCAAAGGCTTCAAACCCCATGTCTTCGCGCACAGCCACTGAAGCCATCAATCAAGGCTTGTGGAACAAGGCTTGCGCTTGGAAGCGCTTGGGTGAGGCTGGGGCTAGGCAAACCTTTCTTGAGCGCACTCGGACGAAGCAAATCGCAATCTGTTATCCTGAATCTTGACAATGGATCTCGCAGATTCACCCAGCGTTCAAAATATAATGCTCTATAAAATGGCACCTTCATTTTCCAAAGCCCCAAGAACTGCTCATGTATTCCACTCAACTTTGCACAGACCATTTCATAAACAAAAGCTCCTTGCTTTTTCCCATTCGCAATGCCTGTAGATATGCCCGTTGATTCCCGTAGGGCACCAAGTGATCCTAAATGATCCTAAATGGAAATATAACATAAATCAACATCAAAAGGCTACGAAAGCCGGCGATGTTGGGGAGTGATGCTGTTGACCACAAACGCTACAGCTTAGAAGCACAGCTTGGCGTGCTAAGGAACATCTGCTCAAGATTCTCCCTATGCACCCATCTGGGCCCGCTGCCAGCACTTGAAAAGTGCTGTTGCAAAGCGTTGCGGGTACTCAGCACTCTTGGCTAAATCCTTTCCACCCTGATACTTTCCACCAGGGAGCTTCTTCCAATACTCTGGCGGCGTTTCACCACGTCGGCGCAAACGCTCAGCCTTGCGTTCCATGCGGTCCTTATGTTTTTGCTGCGCCTTTTTGGTGCACTGGCGGACACAGCCGACCAAAGAGGGCATGCAGGACCACAGTTGTGTGTGCTTCAACATATCATGTCCAAAAGCTCCCAGAAACCTATTGTACTTCTGCAGCCCCCAGCGCTCCACTGCCTTCTTGAACTCAGGCATCTTTGGCATGAACGAGCTCTTCGGTTGTTCGACCATGATCCAAACATCGGGCCTGAAAAGCTTGAGGAGCAATAGGAATGTGACCTCAGTGTGACCCAGCAATACTCAGAAATGCTCAGAAATCATCAGAAATCCAACAGCGAACAAAAGCATACAAAACCATACAAAACCCGTTTTACTTCACATAACTTCGCCCCTAATTCACTACATTTCACTACCAAGAAACAAAGTTTGAGAGGATCAAGTTGGCTAATCGCACTGAGCGGTAATATGTAAATCCTTCCGGTCGTAATTCCTGAGCAGGGGCAGTAGGATGCGACTAACTGGACACAGCATCACAGCATGAACATGCATGAACTTTTTTGATATATTAAAAACAAAATTGATGGTTCATGACTCAGGATCGGAACGGAAATGCACACTTGCCGATATGGAGACGAACAAGCAGCATGGCGGGGCGCATGCCACAAAGGCACCAGGCCTCAACCTGAGTTTAGGCGTGTTTAGGCTCGTGATGGCTCGTGTATTCAGACTCTATAAAATGCATGTTTGCCAAATTTTAAGGCTGCATTTACATTAGACTTTTACCACACCAGTGGTGGGCATTTCATAGACCCAAGATCTGCAATCCAGAAACCCCAGCCCATAGGCCAGCAAGCGCTCAAAGCCACTACGCACTGTTACATCTTCCCGACTGTCTGACTTGATGTCAAAAGCCACAGCAGAATGGCCTCTGCTAACCCAGGTCTTCATGATGCGCTTGGTGAAAGAAAATAGATCGAGACAATCCCACTCGCGGCTACCTGCACACATGCTTCTCTTGAGAAGTGAAATATATACTATATCTAATTGATTCATATTGATTCTAATCATACATAATCATACATACGCGTGCAATGAATTATACAGTAATGACATACAATGACCATCCTGCCTGCCCAATGCTGGCACACAGAGACCAATTCATCCCAATGTTCATGAGCATGAAACCACTGATGTTCCTCTACGGTTGAGCTCTGATCCAATGAAGTCGTAGCCGATGCCTTACTTTCAAGCACATAGCACGCTCTATAAAATGATACCCCATTGGATTCCCAATTCACAGGCCAACATTTTCCTGCGTTGCTTCAGCAGTTGGCATTTCATAGATACACAAATATACAACTATATATATATATA